AGTATATTTATATTAATCTATCAAATACTAAAATTAAATAACATAGGTTTAATATATTTTTGGTTTCTTCTGTCTTTCTAGAATATGGCGACCTCTCGGTTGTAAAACTGGAAGCTTGTCTACTATGCTATGCAGTCAAGATACGTTTGTAGTTTTAACACTTTCTGAAACATTACTGGTTATACATACATGTACTTTCAAACTGCTCCAACTCCCTAAAGTGACCCGCAACCTATAATAAGTGTCTTTGTCACAGCTAGCTATATAGACACCTGTCGTGACTGAGAAAAAATACTAATACACTTAAAATAGAAATGTAATGAACTCGTCCATGGCGAAAATACATATATTTTTTAGTTTCTAACTGCTGTAACATCGGTGGTATTTGGTGGATTTGAGCATACATGGTCTTAAACTGAAGGAGAAGAACCAGTCTTCAAATCAAGCTATAGCATTACAACGGTTCTGGAAAGTGTGTGCACAAATTCGAAAGTGGAACTTAATAAACATTTCAATTTTGTTTAGTCGGACAACTACACGTAAAAAAAATAGTGTACACTATATGTAACAGGGTCAACACGTTTCGACTAATGGGCACAGTCTCGGATAAGAAATATACTAGGAGACTAGTCTATATCCTTTCTTACACTTATTCGAGAAATTAACAACAACCATTTTTCCTGGCTTACTTTCAATGTATACGTCTCCTGTCGTTGCCCCCGTGGCTTCTATCAGGGCATAACAAATGAACCAGATACCCAATGTGTATCGAGTATCCTGAAAAAAAAATCAACGATCAGGCCTACTCAGCGATCGATAGTTTACCTTTCTATTGTTAGTTACGAGTCTTAAATATTCCACGCTTTTAAAATACTATAGTACTTGCATATGTGGAGCAGAAAAATAGGATGGGGATTCACAAATTGATTTTTTTCATTGTTTTGTTTCTTTGTACAGACCTAACATACAGCGTTTTCCGAAAGACTTGAGGTAGCCAATTTGTACAGATAACAACAGGACTGCGTTAACGTTTGTATAAATGTGCTTGATTGATTTTAAAGACGATCGACGTAAGCCGTATGCCAGTTACTATCATCCGTTAGAGCATATAATATATTTAAATGTACTCTCCACATACGTTACAATTATCGATTTGCATTGCATTTATTTGAAATTTCTTTATAAATGCTAAAAAAAATCTTATTCGGTGGTGTCGCTTTTTAGGAACTTTCAGTTTGTGACTTCCGTATGATTATTGATGGTCAATAGATGGGAGAAACAGTTTACATGTGTTGAAAAGGTAAAGAGCATTCCATATGGTGTTAGAAGGCATTTTACTTACATATCCTGTTTTATGTTGACTTAGTTCTCTGAAGTATATAGCTGGTGCACAACGTGCATTTCAAATAATGAGTAAAATATGATATACATCAGAGCTGAAGTCAACACGTAATACAAAAGTTACCATGTTGTTGAAAAATAATTCTCTAGTCAGGAAAATATGGAAAACAATCACAGTGCATTCGTTCCTGTCCCATTGGACCCTCCTATTAACGTGTACAATGATCTGCTCTGCATAGCACAACTGATAGCAATCCCTTTGTTGATTGTATGTTCCAGTCGATATAATCAAATGTACAGTTAAATATCTCTTAGGTATTTAAGTACCACTGGAGACGTGTAAGCGGACACAAGTATGCAAGTCACCTTGATATATACATGGTATGTACGAGAAGTCCATTCAGACAAATTATAGGCTATGAATATGTTTTTTAAAAATCCATTCCGACGTGATATTCACGGTCGACAGTTCCATTATATAGCACAAAAAGATAGCTACGTGTTTGAAATGACCCAAGCCAGTCAGCGCTTTCTGTGTTTTAGATAGTCTGCCCGACAGGAATTAGTAGCGGCAGTTTGTCAGACTATATATAATTGACTGAATCGTTTACGCTGCCCTACCTCTGAATGGACAAATGGTCGTTTTTGTACAGGTAATTTTAGTTGTTCGAAATAGGTCAGAAACGTAATTAGTTAGAGATATCTAACAACGTCTACGTAAACAGAACGGTGTTGTCGTAAAATCGATTGGGAGCTGTAGGATAAGTGGATTTCTACGACCATCTTAAAGGCATAGTTTAATTATGTAAAGTTCCTTCTAAAATGTCTGTTTTACATTTAACGAAATTTATGTGATTGTTTATAACAGTATTTTGTCACTTTATATATAAACAAACTGATTATGCTGCGAATCTGGTCTGCCAAATGCTGTTGTGGTTACCATGTATGAAATTGATATGCGTAGTATTTAGGTTTTGAACACGGCATTTGTTCAGAACAGCCTTGTCACACAAATCACAAGTGATTGTGGGACTTTATTATATATTCCTGATAAAAAAGAATCCCTTAGCAAGCCTAAGTTTGTGTCGGGTACCAGTAAAGGAGGCAGACTAGCGGTAGCTGTGTGGAGAGAGGACATTACCCGACATTAATGTCCTCTCGGCCAACCTTTGTGACACTGTAAACACTCTGTTACTGGGTGATACTTGTTTACACACAGGATGGCCAACTGGAGACGACTGCTGACGGTACTGGCATTTCTCTGGAGCGTAACCACCGTAACAGGTACGACTTGCTTCAAATATTTCCTGTTCCTTATTTAAAATTAGAACATATGCGAAAAAGACCTCTGATCACAACTTAAAATGTATCTAACTTGACTATTGTATTACAACTTTTATATATTGATGTGGATCGTGGCTATCAATGAATCCTGTCGCATGATTTAAAGTTGGATCCTTTTATATATTCAATTTAAACGTTTTTGATATCAATAGGGTGTTATATGTACCTGGTACGATTTAATGGTGTGAGCATAAGAATGTATTTTCAATTAAAATTTGTTGATATCTTTTTATTATAGTAAAAGTTATGAACACGTAGAATGGCGTCACCGGTGTATAACATACATACTGTATTAGGTCAAAAAGGCATTTATGATTCTGTACACGTTCTTTATATTTTATTAGTGGCAATAAATTATCTGCATATGTATTATCAGGAACAAAAAAAACGTTGGCAGTAAACATATATGATAAAATATCAGAATAATGGTATACTGACCTTACATGGATGATGTCTACATGCATGTAAAGGTATCTTAGTATTAAGCCAGACGTATACTGGTACACACGTGTAGTCATGCTTGCATTCCGTCTGACACAGAAAACAATCAGACATAGACACTTTATTTACTCTGTTGAATTAAATTTATTAAATAGAGGCTTTTGTACATTTAAACAACAGAATAACACTCGGCTAAAACTCGTTTTCTTTGATAGCTCAAACATGTCAATCGTCGGGTTTCACAATAGCGGCCACGGAGAAGCTACAGACATTATCGTCTCCTAACTTCCCATCGTCCTATCCGCCGTAAGTATATCAGTTCTACTGATTGATTGATTGGTTTTACGCCCCCTTCATTACTGAGTAGTTTGGATATCCAGCAGACGAAGAAAAGACTGGAATATGAGAAGAAAGTATACAATATAAAGTAGGGAATAGAAAAGGGAGACAGAGGTCAGTTCTATATACGTTTCCGGTTTACGTTAAGGTCCTCTCGAATATATCCGTATGTGAATTAAACTTGAAAACTGCAGGTGGCATGCTATTTAAATAACATGTATAAAAGGGACAAGAACATGAAAAACGTCTACATTTACTGATGTTATATTTTGTAAGTTAGGTAAACAACGTCACCGAAGCCTCTAAGCTTGGCACAGGCTGTAAACATTTAATGCTTTATATTGCTTAAGCACTGATAATTTGATTCTTAACTATGCTAAACTTTGTTATTATTTCTATATTAGCAGTACAACATTTCTTTGGCTGTTTTGGTTGTCATGCTGTACAGTGCTATCTCAGTGATAACACATGTACACATTCACTATTCATTATTGATATTACGACCATAGACCTGTTTAGCGTATCGATCTTTAGATGAATAGGTTTGTATCGGCAGTCGGGTATTCTATCTATCGATATCAGAAATGTGTATTTATTGACAAAAACTAATATGTCATTGTACTTATATAAATGTGGGAAAAATACAAAATAATATCATGACATCCCATCAATAATTTATATGAAATACATTATGTTACATGTACAGACACACACATTCATGAAATCATATGTGTCAAAAATACACATACATGTACATAGAGTTTAATGTTTTACAAAGACATATATACATGTTTATGAAGTGTAATGTGTTACAAAACACATACTTGATAAATACGATATGTTTAAACATTCCCATGCATGATATACTACGTGTACTACTTAACATTATAAGGCTAAGCAAATAAATACTGCCACCTCGCGGGATTAATACAGACAATAACGTAATTCAGTTATTTCAATTATTAGAGATGCAAAGCAAAAATACTTTAGCAAATTTCAAAATTCTCTTATTGACAAAAATATCCTTCCAGGTAAATGGTGGAGAATTGCCAAATCTGTTCTTACCTCTAAAAATAAAAATTGTACTGATTATCCTTTGGAAATTAATGGTGAATTGAAAGTGCATCCTGTAGATAAGGTGGAGTCATTTCACTATTTTTTCATATCTATTTCTACATCAGATAAAACTATTGAAGGCATCCTTCCGAATCCTACTCCTTTCCCTCATCAGCTATCTAATATACTGAGCAAGATCTTTATGACCAACTTCAACTCATTAATCCAAAAAAGCCTGCAGGTACTCATACAATTCACCCAACATTTATCAAAGGTGTATCTGAATCTCTTGTAAAGCCATTACATATTATTTTTAATAAATCAGTGGAATCCGGTCAATTACCTAAAGTCTTGAAATATGCCAATGTCACAGCTGTATATAAGGGCAAAGGTGAGAGAAGTGACCCATCAAACTACAGACCTATTTCTATCACTCCTCTGTTTAGTAAATTGCTTTAAAGAATTATGTTCAAATATTTGTTTAACTATCTTTCAATAAATCATATAATTTCTAAGAACCAATCTGGATTCCTCCCCAAAGATTCTACAGTTAACCAGCTATTAGCAATATATGATTCAATTCTTAAGCAACTTGATACAAGAAAAGAGGCCATAATTGTGTTTTGTGATATTATTAAGGCCTTTGATAGGGTCTGGCATGAAAAAATATGGTATTGAAGACAATTTTCTTAATCGGTTTTCTAATTATTTAACTGATACACAACAAAGAGTAATAATTGATGGGTACAAGTCTTCTTGGCGTACACTTACAGCCGGTGTCCCACAGGGCTCAGTCCTCGGGCCGTATTTATTTCTTTTATATATAAATGACATAGAAAAAGAAATTGAGTCAAATGTGAATTTGTTTGCAGATGGTAGCTCAATGTTTTGTACTTATAGAAAATGATAACAATGCTGCTGCTAAAATTTTAAACAATGATCTCAATAAAATATCTATCTGGGTTCATAGATGGGGTATAGTATTCAGTCCTAGTAAAACAGAAGCTCTTCTTGTATCAAATAAATTAAATGCAGATGAAATGCATCCTGATCTCACATTTCTTAACAATTCTGTGGTAAATGTAAAACAGCATAAACATCTGGGTATTTTTTTTAACAGCCATGGTTTGTGGTCTGATCACATCAATTTCTTATATAATAATAAATGTAATAAGATGCATATATTTAGGTCACTCAAACACAAACTTGATAGGAAATCTCTGGTAATGATATACAAGTCATATATTCGTCATATATTCGTCCAAATCGTGAGTATGCTAGTGTTGTATGGAATAACTGTAATCAAACTGAATCAGATCTTCTTGAATCTATCCAGCTAGATGCTGCTAGAATAGTTACTGGTCTCCGAAGAGGTACTAGTCATGAAATCATCTATAATGAAATTGGATGGGATACTCTTCAGAAACGTAGAAAGGATCAGCAGCATATATTGTTTTTCAAAATAATTAACCATGTTAGTCATAATTATCTTTTTGGAATTGTTGAACTGTAAATAGTCAGCAATGAAGCTATGACCCATCATGTCCGACATCAACGTATATTTGAACCACCAATTTGTAGATCTAATGCATATTTCAACAGTTTCTTTCCTAGCATAATGTCTTGGTGGAATAGACCTGAATGTAACTATTATAATTTGAGATCTATTAGTGAACTCAAAGTACAACTTGTTCATCATGCCATACCCCAATATAATGAAGATATATGTACTAAGTTTTTTAAATATGAAGGGACTAGATCTTTTAACATAATATTTTGTCAACTCCGAAATCGTGCAAGTCAGTTGATCACTTTAGAGACCATCATAATGATAATCCCTCCTGTATATGTGTTATACAATAATGAAGATGTGAGTCACTTCTGTCTGCATTGCCCTAGATATATATGAATCAAAGACAAATTTTATTAATATCTCTGGACCTAAACATTTATGAACATCTAATGTTTAATATTAATATATTGACAAAAGGAAGTAGTTTTCTTAGTGAATATCTTAACTCTGCTATTCGTGTTTGTGTTCAGAGATAAATAGAATCAACCAACATATTTTGAAATATGTTATGTATGCATGTATATATGTATGTATGTGTGCATGTATGTATGTTTGTATGTATGTGTGCATGTATGTATGTTTGTATGTATGTGTATGTGCATGCATGCATGTATGTATGTATGTATTAGTGTATCTAAGTGTGTAAGTATGGTATATCCTATCATCATTGGCACTGATCTAATTCGTATGTTTCTAAAGCATGTTCATTGTGTAAATATTCATAGTTCATTGTATTGGTATTGTTTGGCTTGTATAGGCTTTGCCTGTTGCCCAATTCCAATTAAATCTGATTGATTTAATGATATATTTTGAAATGAAAATATACTACGAGAATAAATACACATATACATGACATTTGTTAAAATCACTCAACCTGGAATAAAATGCGTTCCAAACAAACGCATAAAATATAATTTGTAGCAAACATATGGGCACGTATTATACTGTGAAACAAATCCCACATACAACACATGTACAACACGCATGTATACAAGACATATATTACACACACATATACACGCATATTGAAACAATGTCTTAAAACCAAATACATTATATGCTATATGTTAAAAACTATCATACATGACGTATTATTTGTTGCAAATACAAAGATGTAATATATTGTGCTAAAACAAATAAATACATGAAAATTTAATGAAATATATGGCAAAGACAAACACAGTTATACATGAAACATGAAATGCATGACATAAACGCAGACATACATTCAATACAATGTATTAAAAACACAGATAAACGTGAATTACAATGTATTACAACCACAGATATACATGAAATACAATGTATTACAAACAAAGAAATACATGAAATACAATGTATTACAAACACAGATATACATGAAATTCAATGTATTACAAACACAGATATACATGAAATATATTGTATTACAAACACAGACAAACATGACATGCAATGTATCACAAACACATGCATACGTGAAATCAAATGTATTACAAAAACAGATAAACATGAAATGCTATGTAATACAAACACAGATATAAATGAAATGCTATGTAATACAAACACAGATATAAATGAAATGTTATGTTATTAAAACACAGATATAAATGAAATACAATGTAATACAAACACAGATATAAATGAAATGCAATATAATACAAACACATACATACATGAAATGCTATGTAATACAAACACAGATATAAATGAAATGCTATGTAATACAAACACAGATATAAATGAAATGCTATGTAATACAAACACAGATATAAATGAAATGTTATGTAATACAAACACAGATATAAATGAAATGTTATGTAATAAACACAGATATAAATGAAATGCAATGTAATACAAACACATACATACATTAAATGCTATGTAAGACAAACACAGATATAAATGAGATGTTATGTAATACAAACACAGATATACATGAAATGCAGTGTATTACAAAAGAAATACATGTAAATTGTAAACATCACATTAGTAAAAGATAGATTAGTATTTTGTTTGATATAAATATTTTATCAAAGAGTGTGTTCCTTGATTCTATTAGAAACTATTCTTTTATTATTACACTAACTTCACATTATTACCGAATATGTCATTATCTGTGTAGGTCTGCTAACTGTAAGTGGTATCTGAATGCTGGGGATGCTGATCACTTGGTGTTTATAGACATAACGTCATACTCGATCGAGTTCGCCCCAGGATGCTCGTACGACGGATTATTTATCTACGATGGTATGTCTTTCCTGCATTGTGGCTTACAGTACAATTCCCAGAAAACATATATAAGAAATATGTATAACCATTATAATTCGAATTGAAACCTTTTATGTTTTGGTAAAAGTTCTGTCTTTCACGACTTTTACCGTGGTGGCCAAGTGGTTAAGGCGTCTGACATTCTGCAACCACTAGCCTTCTACTACTGGGTCGCGGGTTCGAAACCTACGTGGGGCAGTCGCCAACTACTGGCCGTAGGTCGGTGGTCTTTTCTTCAGGAGCTCTGACTTTCCTTCACCACTAAAACCTAGCACGTCCTTAAATGACCATAGCTGTTAATAGGACGTAAAATACAAACAAACAAACAAAAGTCTAATGTTTAAATATGACATGTATTGCGCTAATGAAATTCTCATTTGCAGGACGACAATCGACGCTGCTAAAGGCCGCGTGCGGTTCAGCCTCACATAGACAAATAGATTTGTACAAGTCTACCAGTCAGTACGCCACTGCATGGTTCCGGTCAGACTCCAGTGTCCAGCTCCAGGGCGCGACACTCCGATTCTTCCGTTACCCAACAACAGTCAGTAGTAAGTGTTGTTTATATTTAAAAAGTACATTGGTTTTTCGTAGTCAAATTAACAATAATGAAGATAGTAGTGTGTTCTGTGTATGGGGTACTTTCCATAAAAATAAAATATAAACACAAAATTAAACCGATGATTACACAGCATAATCAAACAATCACCCAAAATGTGGGGAGAATACGATAACATCTTAAAACCCTTCCTCAAAGACGTTATTTACATTGAATGCTTATTTTCATTTATTATACGTATATGATGTAATATTCGAATATTGAAAAAATATTTTTTTCTAGTTAATATTGATTTATCTTTCATCGTTCATTCATGCCAACCGATGCATTCTCACCTGAGGTTTAACCAAGAAACTATAATCACTGAACCAAATATACAAAATCGTTCACCATATCAAGATTATACTGCTGAAACAAAAATGACCACAATAAATATAACTTTGTCATAAACTTTTGAAAGCAAAAAATTGGCATACACGTTCAAATTATAATAAGAACACATTTACTGACCATCTTTATGACTAGCATATTACACAACGGAGATCTCCCCATCATAACATTTCATTTGTTTATAAAGCAGACACCACTTATTGATGTTTAAACTATGACCGCTATGTCTTATGTTGTTTCAGCTGTTTGTCCAACAGCCCTGGATCTGGACGCGAACACCACCATCCAATACCTATATTCCCCGGGATTCCCTCGACTGGAAGACGCGTAAATATACTAGAAATACGTCTCTACTCAAATAAGCAGATGAACAATCATTAAAATTATAATATATTTAATTTTCTACACAAGTTGGATACTAAATGAAACTACCAAAAGTTCGTTGTTTCCTTTGTCCATGAAATTGACCTGATTCTTCACATTGCACATGGTTAATTTCACACTGTTCTAGTGTTTATCTGGTACAGTATAACTGTATGGCCCTTTTACGTTTTGACTATGATAGTTCATGTGTTCCATACTTTTCTTATACCTACTGGATGCCTCATTTCTATCGATTTTAACGGTTCACTTATTATCATACACGTATAACGACTATTAGCCCCCTTTGTTTCAACTCTACTTATTCATATGCTTTCCGGGTTTTAGAACGACTGTAAATCCTGTTGGTATCGACTTATACTATTTCTATATTATATATTATAATGTACTTATCACAACTGTAAACACATATTTTGCTGATGGCCATTTATGAATATATACAATGCATTTATAATATCAGTCGATAGATAGCAGATTTTAAAAATGTGCAATTACCACACTTTTGTTCTATAAATAGTATTTTTTTCTATATAGTATGAATCTGTTTGTAATCGCTATTTTTATGATTTAGAGATAACGAGTGTTCCTGGCTAATCACAGCTGTCTCCGCTCTTGACGACATTATACTGGAGGTGCTGTACTCTGACATGGTATCAGGGGAGGTCTGTTACACTGATATCCTCACAATCTACGACGGTGAGTATCCTACCTACAAGTTAACGCTGAACCTTCGCTATGTATAGGTATGATAGTTCGAATTTGAATATGTTCAATGAAAGTTTTATGTCAGAACGTAATGTTACGATGTCATTTCATCAATCACAATGTGAGAATGTCGTATCTCGTCGTTGAAATTGCTATTGTGTCATGTTCATCACTAAATATGTACAATGTCACATGTCATTCATTGAAGGTATAACTATTGGCGTTATCAATCACTGAAAATGCAAGAATGTAAGAAACAACAATGAAGTTGTGTTAATTTAATGTGAATTCTGAAGATGTAACAATCTAATATATAATTAACTGGAACTTGTTTAAGTCATGTGTCATCGCTTTAGGTGAAGAAATGTCATATATTATTCACAAAAATGTTAATCTGCCATATATAATCGTAGAAGATGTGAGGATAACACCAACTGACATCACAGAAAATATCTCCCTATATCAAGGAAGCTAATTTTTCTTTTTAAGAAGCAATTAATAGTAATGTACTGCCATTTTTAAGCACTTGACTGACCGATGGCTCTCTTTTTATAATCAAGACTGAAACATGACCGATTTGTTAGGTGCATTACATGTATAATCATTTGATGGAAGTCATATAGCCTTACTGGATATAATAATGTTTTACCTTATTCCTTCGTTGCGTAAATCAGGACCAGACGATAGTGCCACCGAGCTGAAACAGGTGTGCTCTGACAAGGTGAACTTCGTAAGTGTGGTTGTCATATCGTCGGCAGATAAAATGTTTCTAAAGCTTACTACACAGTTCAGTCTGACCGCCCGAACTGGCTTCGTCGTGTCGTATAACTCCACTAACAGGGGTAAGTAGTTCTTATATGTATTTTAGTGCATTATACAGTAACATTTGGATTATGTTTACGGGGTTGATATATATATAGTCGTAGACAAAACAGATGCCTGCTACTTACAAACATCATGATGCCAACGCCTGTTAAGATTGTGTTTAGAACTGGAATTATGTTTTAGTCACTTTTGATAAATAGTCTGTTTTGGTCGAAGCGACAACATCAGATCGAATACAATATAGAAACGTAACTAAGGTATGCATGTCATGCGCAATACTATTTTTATCGCTGTGTCTAAAAATGCAAATGGTAAAAACGCCTACATTAAACTTTGCTTGTTTGTTTGTGCTGCTATTTTACAGGACGAACATTGGCTCTGACAACTACCGTGGCAGCCATCCCGACCTTTTCGGTGTGCGACACAAGCGTGGTGCCAGCCGCATCCTCCCTCCAACAAATTACGTCCCCCAATTACCCTAACCTGTATGGAAAGTAAGTCTTATTTCATAATCATATTTAATAACAATATGTTATATTGTATTACTTAGTTCAGTATATATTTAGAGATGTAGTTATCTGATAGATCAAGAATGTTACCAGTTCTTATGACTTTGAAGTACAAAGGGTTACTTCTTTATCCGCAGCATATATATCTCGTTCTTTTGCTGGAAGCGAAATTAGATATAGTTCATTTTCATCAGGTTTTTTTTCAAAAAACCATTAACAATTAACATATAAAATGTTATGTTTATAAAGCTACCTGAACTGTTACCTGGTCATTGAGGCAGCCGAAGGGGAACAGATTTTTCTGAACCTAGTGGATTCCTCTATACAGAGCAGTACTGGCTGCTCCAACGATGGATTGGCTATCTATGATGGTAAGACTTGTATCTTAAATTCAAGCATTTCCTGTTACATTTTGTAATAGCATGTCAGTCTATGCTAGAATTGTATATGCATCTTAAATTAAAAGGAGAAAAACTAATTATGATGATGACTTAACACGTTCCTTTCAATCCAAATGTTACGAAGACCTCTGGAACACTTCCATAAAATATCACATGAACAATTTTACCATATTGATTTAATGTTATATCATATCTCGAAGTGAAATATTCATTGTTAGTTCATTTTATTCATGGCACTGCTGTAATGCTTAAAATCGTGAAGCGCGCAGCTTCTTAATTTGCTTTTTCTGTAACAATAACAGGTCCGTCCTCTAGCTCGGTACAGTTAGGCTCGTTCTGCGGGGAGGATTTGACGGCTAGTATCAATAGTACTGGCTCCAGTTTGACTCTCTTTTTCTACGCAGATGGTTCTAGTTTAAACAGAGGATTCAAGGTGCAGTTCATATCTGCACCCCACGGTAAGATGTAATATATATGTATCTTATAAAATGTAGATATTGTGTAAGTTTTATAAGGTTAATTTGTCCTTACCGTTCGGAGTATACCGTGTTGTTCTTTCATTGTTGACGAACCGTTGAGGTGTGTATATCACCTGCCAAAAAGACGATTATTTCTTAAATACATACACTCATTCATATAAATTCATTTTTTTGCAAATATATAACAAACCGTATTTAGTTTTTTAATATGGTTTCTGTAAAACGAGAACTATTCTGAAAAATTTAAATGTCTTAGATGATGTAAAAGGTAGATAACAAATAATATTGTTTTATCCTTAAGTCTTCCCTTGCGTGAACCGCGTTTGTATGGTCACTTAACCAGTGATAACATGTGTTTACCTGTATTGCAGTGCTTCCTAGTTGTATTGACTCCAGTGTCAACATAACGTACCTCAACGCGACAACATCTGTTCAATACCTAACATCTCCCAACTACCCCGCCAATTATAATCTGTAAGTTAACACTAAATCTGGTTGTTATACACAGACGCAACTTCGGTTGTTATCATAGTACAGTGGATTAAAACAAATCATTTTATACTTTAATTAATCATGCGTATATTGTTTCAATTGAAAAAAGTACAAACGTTTACGTTACTACGTCCTTTTAAAGATTATATATAGCGCAATCTTGTATACATTTACAACAACAAAGTAAACTTTATAAGGACACTTCCATCATAGTGTATAGTAATACTTTGTCAATAACAGTTGAAACGTTATTGTATATTCTGCTCTTTTTAAGCAATTTAAGATTTTGTGTCGTAGATTGTGTTGTTTTAATATGCACCATTCAGATGAAAACATATAAAAAACAATGTGTAATTATATGTAGGTGAGATATATTTTTAAACAGAATGTTAAACTTGTACAGTATTCTGTTTCTATGCAATTTACATGGTAGAATGAACAATTATTTTTTTCTATAATGATGATAGCTACTTTACTTTTGTATATTGATAATTAGATATTTTCCTATGTAACAGGGGTAATTTTTGAGCTGTATGTATCTGTTTATGATAAATTGGCACATTTGTCACAGCCAGATCAGCATTGTAGCACTATTGCAACTATGATGATAATTGTATAAAAATACATCATTACAGGAACGAGAATTTATATTGGATTATTTACGATACGAGCGAATCTGGAATTATCAAGATAAAAGCTGAAGATTCCAGGATTGAGGCTAGTTACAAGTGTGTGTTTGATAAAGTCTCTGCCTACAAAGGTGAGTCAACTACAACAGTTCGTACAGTATTGTACACTATATTACTAAGGTACATTGTATGATGTGATAGAACCACTGTCTACAACAGTTCGTACAGTATGTTAAATTGTATGATGTGATAGAATCCCTGGTCACAACAGTTCGTACATTATATTACACTGTATGGTGTGATAGAGACACTGTCTACATCAGATCATACAGTATGTTTCATTGTATGGTGTGATAGAGTCACTGTCTACAACAGTTCGTACACTATGTTACATTGTATGGTGTGATAGAACCACACTGTCTACAACAGTTCGTACACTATGTTACATTGTATGATGTGATAGAGTCACTGGTCACAACAGTTCGTACAGTATGTTACATTGTATGGTGTAATAGCGAAACTGTCTATAACAGTTCGTACATTATGTTACATTGTATGGTGTGATAGAGACACTGTCTACAACAGTGCGTACAGTAGGTTACATTGTATGATGTGATAGAGACACTGTCTAAACAGTTCGTACATTGTGTTACATTGTATGATGTGATAGAGACACTGTCTACAACAGTTCGTACATTATGTTACATTGTATGATGTGATAGAGACACTGTCTACAACAGTTCGTACATTATGTTACATTGTATGATGTGATAGAGACACTGTCTACAACAGTTCGTTTAGTATGTTACATTGTATGATGTGATAGAGTCACTGGTCACAGCAGTTCGTACAGTATGTTACATTGTATGGTGTGATAGAGACACTGTCTACAACATTTCGTACATCATGTTACATTGTATAGTGTGATAGAGACACTGTCTAAACAGTTCGTACATTATGTTACATTGTATGGTGTGATGAGTCACTGTCTACAACAGTTCGTACAGTATCTTACATTGTATGGTGTGATAGAGACACTGGTCACAATAGTTCGTACAGTATCTTACATTGGATGGTGCGATAGAGTCACTGTCTACAACAGTTCGTACAGTATCTTACATTGTATGGTGTGATAGAGACACTGGTCACAATAGTTCGTACAGTATCTTACATTGGATGGTGCGATAGAGTCACTGTCTACAACAGTTCGTACATTATGTTACTTTTTATGGTGTGATAGAGTCACTGGTCACAACAGTGCGTACAGTAGGTTACATTATATAGTGTGATAGAGTCACTGTCTACAACAGTTCGTACATTATGTTACATTGTATGGTGTGATGAGTCACTGTCTACAACAGTTCGTACAGTATGTTACATTGTATGGTGTGATAGAGTCACTGGTCACAGCAGTTCGTACAGTATGTTACATTGTATGGTGTGATAGAGTCACTGTCTACAACAGTTCGCACATTATGTTACATTGTATGGTGTGATAGAGTCACTGGTCACAGCAGTTCGTACAGTATGCTAAATTGTATGGTGTGATAGAGACACTGTCTACAACAGTTCGTACATCATGTTACATTGTATAGTGTGATAGAGACACTGTCTAAACAGTTCGTACAGTATGTTACATTGTATGGTGTGATGAGTCACTGTCTACAACAGTTCGTACAGTATGTTACATTGTATGATGTGATAGAGTCACTGTCTACAACAGTTCGTACAGTATGTTACATTGTATGGTGTGATAGAGACACTGTCTACAACATTTCGTAAAGTATGTTACATTGTATGGTGTGATAGAGTCACTGTTTACAACAGTTCTTACATTATGTTACATTGTATGATGTGATAGAGTCACTGGTCACAACAGTTCGTACATTATGTTACATTGTATGATGTGATAGAGTCACTGTTTACAACAGTTCGTACATTATGTTACATTGTATGATGTGATAGAGTCACTGTCTACAACAGTTCGTACAATATGTTACATTGTATGGTGTGATAGAGTCACTGGTCACAACAGCTCGTACATTATGTTACAATGTATGGTGTGATAGAGTCACTGCCTACAACAGTTCGTAAAGTATGTTACATGGTATGGTGTGATAGATTCACTGCCTACAACAGTTCATAAAGTATGTTACATTGTATGGTGTGAATATACGTTTATACAGTATATTACATTGCATTGAGTGATAGTGTCAATCTCTATTTTAAACAGTATGTAAATGTTTCTGCATTGAAGAGTAATCAAACCAAACCCTTTGATAGAGATCATGAACATTAAGGAAATTAAATAGAGGCTATTGTTTAATAGATTATGCTTTCTTAATTGTCTTATTTTATACATTATTTTTGCGGATACAATTGTTGACTAACATATTGGAGTAAAATGATATGTATATATCCTTTCTGTTTCATCTATTTTTGTTACCTTTTTGTCAGGTCCGTGTGCGTCATTTCCCCAGCTCGGGACATTCTGTGGAGAGGAGAAACCCTCGTACTACCAGGATACCGGTGATTACGCTCTGCTGACTTTCACGTCCGATAACAGCGTAGTGAACAAAGGATTCAACATATCCTATGTCCTAGTGTCATGTACGTACACACATTAATGTTTTCATAGGCAATTACCAACATTTGTACCTCATCATATTGTTTTGACACAAATGTTATTTGATTTAGTACAAACAGTCTCATGTTTGTCTAAAACGACGTGTCACGTTACTCTTAATTGGTGTATGTGGTGACGAAATTCAATTGAATTTAAAATTCATTTTAAAATCTAAAAGAAATTAATGACAGGAACAAAATATCTATATTATGACGGTCTGGTAATTACAAGTTCCTTAACGTGGAATGTCTGTTGAGTTTCTTGTGATCAACTTCGAGCTACTCAAATTTCATATATGAAATGTTTTCGTTTCATTTGCGTTAGCTAAATATGATAAACAACCACCATTTTTGAAAAAAAAAAAAGGTTTTCTAGATATAACAATTTTCTCTTAGTTGTTCAAATACTATTCTTTAATGGTAACTTCCAACAGTCCTGATTTCCATGACTTTTATGCTCCTTACGAATATAAAACAATTTATATTGATATCAAGTGTATAACTGTTGATATGTACATCAGTAGATAGGACGTAAATTAAAGCAATAAGTTTAAACATATGCCATTTGTGAAGGACAACACATAAAACAATAACATATTTTATTTCCAGCGACCCCGACTCCGGAGACGGACTACACACTTCTAATAAAGGCGATCGTCGGAGGTATACTAGGCGTCATCGCTCTTGCTGGACTGATTTTTCTGATCGTGAAGATGGTACAGATGTGGCGTTCGACAGAACCAATCAGTTCAATGGATAGGAGGCGCGACTCGAATAGCAGCACCTCATCTGTCCTCATCCGAACGAGACACGCCTTTACCGCGCTATCGAGTATGAGGATGCCGCTACTGAGATCGACTGCAAAACCAAAGAAGCCTAAATTGCCACGATTACGCCGTTGATTGTGTTTGAACCATTGAAAATATGATACTCTGAATGTGGCTGTACATGCAGCTGGTCATGAAACTTGTGAAAAACGTATTAATATTTAAACTATTGGTTCATGGCTCATTTACAACGTTAACGAGCTATTCATACAAATTTCAATGTATTTAGTTTTAGACATTTGACTGTAAAAATTACTGAAGAATTTTGCATATGTTATTGGACAAAATGGTTATGTGAAACAGTAAAATATTACTTTGGCTTAAAGTTTTAAATAAACGCGACCTTGCGTCATATTTCGAATGTTTCTTAAAGATATTTGATGTAAGAAACATATTAATCGGCCTATAAACATATCTTTTTTATTTGACGGTTGTTATAAAACCCAATTATGTGTATTTTTAGTTTTGAATTTTGATATTTCTAGAATATATTACATTTCATTTTTACTTTGTCTTTAGACAGGCTTCGAAAAAATGGTTCTTAAACGTCTTATGTGATAATCAAAATTGCTTTGATTGTAGTATGTGTGCGTTTTACGAAATATAGTATAAGGTTTGAATGAAGGATATAACTTAGAGTTATTGTGATTTTTACTTCCACATTTGTATTTCCGTCCATATTATCTTAATACTATTACAGTTTGTTTCCTGTAGATGTGTTATCTCTAGGGAAAACAATTCACTTTTGTAATTCAATTACATAACGTGTCATATTTCTTTTACGTAACTAGTTTTAATTACCTATCGCAAACTCCAGTGCCATGAGAACATCGAAAATGTGTGCATGAATGTGAAAGGTTATGAGAGTTGTCAACAGAAGTGTAACGAGCGATCGTGTTACGAATAAACGTTTGATTGTGATATTAACCGTATTTGTATGTCGCACCTTTAATTTTACATATATATTACATGATAAGTTAGCTTCATCGTTTATGATAATCCGTCCCTCAGCTGTATCATTGTTATTAATATCAGCTCCAAATTAAATTTAACCATATCACCATGAGGCAATTTGTGTTTTATTTGGTAATATATCAGTATTAAACTTTCCGTGCTAGTTTATGTTCATCGATTCCTCGGGCATACTTGCATAAGTAAATACTAATATAGGTTTTCTGCATCAAATTATTGTAGTTTTATTTTAGAAGCGTCCTTTTCCACTCAGCAACTACAGGTGGAATATATATCATTCCAGGGTATCGTAACTTAAAGTCGACGCAAACAAAAGCAAAAGGAGGAACCAACGTTGTATCAAAATAAACAGGACAACACCGTAAATACCAACATAACATCAGACACCAGATGAATCATATCTGTTGTCCAAGCTTAACAATATGTAGGTCACTATTCAAACTAAGTATTGGTCTTTAATTGTGACCTTTGTTTGTTTGTTTGAACAGCATGGTTATAAGTTACTTCTTAATGTTGAATTCAAATATACACCGAAACAGTTAATTTTGATTCAGGCACTATGTGCGATATACATATTTCAGTATTGTTATTGTATTGTTCATACATAATTAAGATACTTGGTAGTTTCAAGTCCACACATAAACTTCATGATTAAGAGCCAGTTAAGATATTACATTGTACGTCTTAAGAGGTGAAAGATTAAACTAACGCGCATTTGGAGTACTAATTAAGAATGGTATTTATACAGATTCCGGCCAACCAAATGAGTGCATACAGGTCGTTAACCCATTCAAAAGGTATTGTTGTCCAATACTAAATAAACATTTGTGTTTACAATTTCTTTGTATCTGTTTAAATATTAACAAAACATAAAGGAGAAGTGCAATGTTTCTGTTTTGAGGTCCACCACACCAGTGACAGATCCGTAGAACCGGAAATTTTAAGACCAAATAGTTATAATGAAATTTTGCTGTTACGCTATACCATTCCAAACCGAGTATTCCCGGTCATAGAAGATTTATTAAGGATTAAAACACTTTCAAACAACCGAAACAAAATATACATATGTGAATAATGGATTAACAATATATCAACATATCCTCTCTACATAATATATAAACGGTACTAAGATGCCTCCCTTCCCCTACCCGAGTATCAAGTTACTCGTACCTGGTTATCCGACCCCATTGTTTGTCGTCGTCATGGACTCACAAAACAACACAGTACTAGTACTACACACATGAACAAACACACACCGATTATTAAATGGACGGGTTAAGTTGTATTGTGGGACGCTTGGCTATTGTAGGGTTACACATACTTGGGGTCTGTGTACTCTCTGTAGGGTTAAACATGTGTGTAGTCAATACGTATATATATACTTAACATAGAATTATATAGGTAAATGTGCCCAATGGCAATGTACAGGATGGCACATTCTTTTCTGGACATCGAGACTGATTATACCGGTAAGACGTTATCGTAGACAATGGTCAGTGGTGACTAGCGTTAATCAGGCATAATTTTGTTTGAATGTCAGTTGTCATGTGAAATCACTAGTTATATCTGTTAATCTTAGCCCAAACACGAACCGGAACAGTTATTCGCAGATGGTATGCATATTAGTATGATATCAGGTAGTAATTATCATTAGAAATGATTAAAAACTTAATGTAAAATAAAATAAAAAAAATGTGAAATTAATAATCATTTGTAGGTGCTGGAATGAAGAACAAGCTGTCAATAAACGTTTATAAGCACTGATCGACTGTCCTTTTCAATGGTGACCAATATGGCAGCCAAGTGGGTTTGGTCACTGTTGTTGCTTGTGAAGATACATTTCGGTGAGTGATGACGGTTCATTGTATTTGTAAAGAAAAGTTAAACATGCTACAGTACAGTTATCATAATATCTGATCTCGAAGCTTGTGTCTCTGGAATAAACCAAAATGGTATAAGTAGATCGATAAGTAGAACTGATAGATTTATGACTCGAATAAATAACCCCGTAAATATTCAACTACTATTTGTTTATTTCTGACAGATTCAGGGTACGCTCAGTGTGTCAATACGTTAGATGTGACGGCTCATCTAGACTATTCTGGACATATTAAATCGCCGAACTACCCATATAACTACAATAAGTAAGTATCAGTATTACGTATTTGTTTGTAATCATTGTAACAATCGTTCAGTGTTATAAAAAGGAAAGCTGATTGTGAATTTTATGTTTGTTTGTGCTTCATGTATCATGAAGTTTTGCAGTTATTTAAACTTCACTGTTTCAGGCACAAACGTAAACTTTAAGGTTGACGTTCCGTTCATGTTTATGAATTGATAGACTAAAGAACATGTAATCTGCATTAACTAGTTTTTTTTTTAGTTTTTTTTTTTTGCATCGCACTTTATGTTAATAACTCGAAAAATGTTTCAAATTTACTTATTTTGAGAACACTAATGATATCTGTTTAAATATTTATGATTTTTTTAGTGAAAATTTAGCTCCCTCGGGTTACATGTATCCCGGGAGCTAATAGTTGACAGGAAATTAGAATTGCCGTTCGTTAAATGAATAGTTTCAATATCTGCATTACCTCCATTTAGATACGCGGTGGATAATGTCACAATAACATGTCTGGCAAAGGAGTAGATGTATGTAAGGTCATCGAGTGCGTACTGTTAATACACAAAAATACACTATGAAGTGTTTATCATACGCCAAGTGATCATATTTCTAACAGTGTCAGCTGACTAGACTAGTCAAGGTATTTCTGTACACGTTAAATTGCATTGTTACTATTATAACGTATTACGTATTACTGATATGAATTAAATGGTGGTGGTTGTTTTAGTGTAATGAACTCTTTTATCTTTGACATTCAAATATTCTCGGCGTTCAAAGCAAATCAAATAATTTAATCTCCCTTCAATGGGTAATACCATACATGGTAAGAACATCGAATCCCAGTTCATATGCTGCTGTAAAGCAATGTGAATTGTATATAAAAACAGGTCACATCTGAATACAGTACGGTTTAATTCAACCCCGCAGTATGCAAACACTCCGTGATATCGGTCAATACCTCATTTCCGATAATTAAAACAACTAAGTTAACCTGTGTACAAGGATAACCTACTTAATACAAGCAATGTGTTAGATCTAACAAGATGTCATTTTACAGAGGTTATACTGAAAACAACCAAAATATATATTATATAGTAGATACTAAATACAAGTTGTTAGAATATAGAATAAAAAAAATATGTATTCAAGATCTACCGCTAGGCCTTTATATCTAATCCAGGTATTCAAGTAGTTCATATACTCAGGCTTCCGCCTGAAGAAGCCCTAAAAAGAAGAAAGGCCTACCGGTAAACCTTGATTTTTTTTATTATTATTCTATATACATTTGTATATATATATATATTCAGAATTTTACATTGTGACAAGGAGGAGTCATCAATGCAGATCCGCTGTAGCATTTTCTCCTCATACGAGGGCATTAAAACACAGCAACTTTCATTCTAAAATATTTTCATATATTTTCTTGTCCTAATTATTTCCAGACATATAATTAATTGAAGCAAATATTATAACATTCATGAAGGATATGTTCTTGTGGCAAATCAATTTGCTCTACTGACTGTCTTTTTGTCCAAACCAATCCCTATTTTGAAGGGGAGAAAATACAATGAATATTGATTTATATGTCCGTGTGCATTTTTATCATTTTTTGGATGTGTTTCTTTGCTAAGGTCGGTCAAACATTTCTCTTACGAAATGTACGAATTTGTGGTGAAATTATTATTTTTAACGTAAGCAAAACAAAATCATACAATATCTTCAAAGTATATTAATGATTGTTTGCACATTTGATAAAAATAGAAAATCCTCTAATACATGGAAGTAAAATTATCTCTATTGTATCCTCATAATAACTGCTTGATATTATTTCTATCTATTTTATTCATTTTCCAGATTAATGTTTTTTCTTTCATAAAATAGTATTTCATGCATTCCGTTAACTATTTCAAAGTGCAAAATATTGATTCTGTTTGATATAAAATAAATCTTATCTGGCAACTGTAAATATCTTATCTTCTGTTATTATCTTTACAGTCGGGCCAACTGTGAATGGCTGATAACAGCTAGCACTGGCGTGGTTGTCATCAGCATCGATGATATGCTGTTAGAAACTAACTTCGATAATATTTACTTTTATGATGGTATGTATCTATATTACACAAGCGAGTAAGACATATTTACTTATATGATGGTATGAATCTATGTTACACAAGCGAGTAAGACATATTTACTTATATGATGGTATGTCTCTATATTACACTAGCGAGTAAGACATCATGAGCGATTGACACACCAAACATATTCGCCTATATCATACAATAAATTATTTGTTTGTTATCGTACAACTGTATATGCCAACATCAGTAATGTACAAGCATATACACATACAGATGAGATATATCTACATACTAAACACCTTACTGGGTTAAATGTTGTTAGCAATGAATGCTTTATGTTAATAAGATAAAGATTATTGTATTTATCATACATATAAAGTAGTTTGATAACGACATAACACTTTTCGAAAAAGAGGTTCCATTGTACATGTATTTTGGTATATACATACTTACATAATGTATACATTTTCGAATAAAATTTCTAGATATGTGGCATCTGTATTGACTATGCACATGGATATCTCCTGTTGTTTAAAAACGTTATTATATACTTGGTTATCACCACACAACTGCTATTATAAAGTCAGATACTCTGGCCAAATTAAAGAAGCATATAAGGACCCAACACCTCTTCACGGCTGCATTGCAGGCTCTTTACACAAACGTCATGACCAAACTACCCTTTATTTATTCATTTTATGAACAAACTTACACCACTATAAATTGCACTTTAAATGAATTTATTGACATAACACACTTACCGGTGTAAGGTCAAACATAAACCCGGTAATTTCCGTGATTACAGTTATTTGCACATTGAGTCGATTATCTTTTTGCTTAATATATAATGGCGATTGTTTGCATTCTTGTTTATCAATTATAACTAATACTGTTATCCATAGGTTGTAAAGCACTTTAGAGTAATTTTACAAATTATATAGGGCGCTATATACACGTTGTATATTATTATTATCATTGCATTATGTGTATATAAAAATAAAAAGAATATGTCATGATCATACCATGAGTGAAAATATTTTCTTGTATTTACGACTATGAATATTGTGTACCACAGGCTCTTCCTCGTCAGGAACATTGCTCGGTAGTTACACCGCGGAGACAACTGGCATTGAAATCTCGTCAGGCACAACAATGCTGGTGCGTTTCACAACAGACTCGAGTGTTACCCGGCATGGATTCAAATTGACTTATTTTGCTCTCTACTCGGCGTCTTCCTCAAACCGTATGTTAATTATTTTTTCATCACAGGTTTTTAAAAATCTCGTGATTGAGAGCCTATATCTACTTGATCAGTATTATTAACCATAAGTGTCAAAATAAAATATGTAATGAAGATACGTAGAAACCTTTACAAAACATTCAGCTACCAGTTTAGTATACGAAATAAATGATATATACTGCTTTAACCCATATTTCGGATAAGTAACGATATGCCTAAACCTTTGCTATATCAGACAGACTATAGACATATGTGTTTGTATACCACACTCACTCTGTATCTATGTCATCATGCAGTACACGCGTGGCCGTACTCGCCCTGTGGCACCACCATCAATATCAATACTAACGATATCCAGCAGCTGAAGCTATCCTCCGCCCCACTGTCTACTTCTCCGTAAGTTATTTCATAAATGATTATTCAGTCTAATCTTTCCTAAGTGGGTATTAAAGAATGTGATCGTAAACGAGTGTAAATATTTACAGTTTGAATGGCGATCTCGCATTAATTGATTTTTATGCATACTTCCTGTCAGAACTGGAACAAAAACAGAATGAAATTATACGAAATCGCAATTCTGAGGCACACAGTTAACGTTTCCTAACCTGTGATCATTATTGTTTTATGGATTATAAATTACACAAATTGTTTGCCAGGAATGATATAACTAGTTACTGAGTTCAATTACTCAACCGCCTTACGTAATCACCTTATATGTTGTCCATGCAGTTCGCTGAGTAACTGCGATGTGACCTTCTCCGTGTCGGCCAGTAATTTGAATGTGACCATACTTTGGAGTGATTTGGCGTTCACTTCGAATGGTTTGAATGTGACGTCCGTTAACCTTTGTGATCAGCAGTATGGACTCTCTGTATGGGACGGTGAGGAAACAGTTTAGATCGAGTACACGCAGTGCTTTATTTGCTTCTGTTAAATTATACCATAATAGATCTTGATACGAAAAATCATTTCATTGCTGTTCGTCATTTAAGATATATTTACATGTGACTCTAAAGACTTAAAAGCCTTTACCACCAGCATGAGTGGATGCATTCTTAACTGTGAATAATATATTTCGCCAAAACAGAAACCTGTCACCTAGTTCATGGCTGTTAAAGATACCGGCTCCACGTTGTTGTATTGGCTGTTACAGGTAACGGCTCCACCTTGTTGTATTGGCTGTGTAACGCCGACCAGAGCTCTGATGATACCGTTATTATCTACCCTACTCAGACATCGGTAATGTTCCGATACAACTCTCCCATCTCTACCACGGGCCCGATCATCAGCATTCAGAATTATGGAGGTTAGTATAGCTAATAACTCAGAGAAAATTGAATTTCACCGGTAATATCATTATACAAAAAAAAACAGAATAATGTCTTTGCTTATAACAGCAATTGTGAAAACAACTTGCCATTTACTCATTTAAATACGTCTAGATGCATGTAATGGTCGATAAGACATACTTGGCCCTCAGTAGCATTGATGCTTTTCATCAGGTAATGGCATAACGGGTAGGGTGGTGACGTCATTTCTTCATTGAAAGGCTACTCCCACTTCTACGTTCATTGTAATCTATACCCTTTATATGCTAATGATATTAAGGAAATAGACATTCGATTTTTGCGCTGTTCAAAGTTGTATAACTAGTGTTCCTGTAGCGCAAGTGTGTCTAATCTTTCCGGATGATATGTATATCGTTACCCGAAACTTTTCATTGAGGTTCCCTTTGTAAGTAGATATTTTGGTCTGATCATGGTTGGAGAAGTCACAGATGTCTGACGTCCTTTTTGTGTAGCTTATATGTATCGTCTCAATTCTTGATTATGCTTGTTCTTCTGGTTTTTTTTATATACGAACTTCGTGTTAAAATGGTACTGTGTCAAATATATATTTACATCTGTATTTATTATATTTTTTTTTGCTTTTAGATTTATGTGATTTTTGTTTGTAGACTTAAGATACGACAAAGGATTTTGCTGCTATTAGAAATGTATCCATGTAAACTGAATACGTTGAATAAAAATGCTTAAGTTTAATATTTCAAATTCATGGTTATAAATATATTCAATCTCCAGCCTGCATTGCTGTATTAATTTCACAGGGACAGCCGCTACAGCCACAGTACCAATTCCTACGACACAGTCTATCGTCTCATCGTGTGGTGATAGATCGATGATCTCAGAGTCGTTTCAACAATATCTTACGTCTCCCAACTACCCAAACTATTATAGCAAGTAAGTCTGCGTATAACACGTACCTCACGTCTCCTTACTACACTGAATTTCAAGCGAAAAAGGCTTTTTATAATACGTATTTCACTGCGCTAATTATCAAACAAACTATAAGGTGTTGATCTTGATATAAGACACCACACGTGTCTACATGTATAACTACCCGGTATACTCTTTTGTGTAAGTCTATATATAACACAACCTTCAGGTCACCTTACTTCTATGCAATCTAAGCGAGTAAGTCTGTATATATGACATACCACAAATCTCCTGATTCCAAGTTAGAACTCGGAGCACACGTCCCCTACATACATGATATACCATAGAAAGTAAGTATGGTTATAACATATATCTCACGTGCATTACTACAAAGCATTACCCCAACACACTGTAACCAGTAAGTCTGCATATTAGACATGCCATGCATGTCCCTATCTACTGGGTATACAACATCGAGGAAGGAAGATTGTTGTAAAAAAAGAATAGGAGATAAAAATAAATAAAAACAAACTGTAGTGTGCAAATATACATGCTGGAATGTGGAAAGCGTGCTGTTATCTAATAATATCTGATGTAATAGGTAATGTTTTCTTTCAAATTATCCTTAATAGATACACTTTTATAACAATGAATTTACAACTAATCAGTGAATGGATGCATAGGAGATGTATCCGCATTACAAGTTGAAGGATTCATATGGATTATTTTAAAATACAAATTGTCTTATTTGATAACTTTATAATTGTTATTGGCAAGAATTCATTTTAAATTGTTCTTCTTTCTTTTGTTGTTTTTGTAGCTACTTAAGTTGTATCTGGACAATTACGTCACACGATCTTAATGGTGTCATTACATTGAATATCATCAGTCTGTATACATAGTTAGTCCACGATTACCTCTCCGTGTATGACGGTAAGTAATAAAGCCTGTCAATTATACGTCACTGTTAAGATAACCTTCAATTTGTGGTATTATAAGATGTTAAATTTGACGCTCGTCTTGTTCATAGACTACTGTAGACCAAGAATATCAAGGGCAGGTGGATACATTCAGTTCGTCTTATAGACAGTTTTTTCCTCCTTTACTAAAACGTAACAATTAGTTATACATGAAGAAATAAAATAAAATATAATATATGCATGGAGACTAGGATTATGCGTTTGTTAGTTCAAAACCAACGTTAATCGGCATTCCTTTTTTGAGTTTATTAAACTCTGTGTATAAATTAGCGTATACATAACGAAACACAAAGATTCAGCGGATTGATGCATGCTGCAAATATGACGCTTGATCGTTTGTATGATTAATACACGATTCAGCTTGATTAAATCATCAGAATTTACACATGTATCTACTAAATGTTACATATTCTCGAAATCGTAGAGACAAGCTTTGATGAAGTGTGTCTTTTTATACAACAAGGATGCTGACAAATACTGTTTTCCATGAACAATGGCGACTTCGTTCTGTATTCTTAGACCACGTCACTACCAGAGCATTGTATAAAATGGCGTTCATAACGACCTCAATAAATGAGAGGAAAATGTAATTCAGATGAATAAAAATGGATTTAAAAAAACTTAAAGTCATATGTGTTGTTAACTTCCTGATTTACCTTAACTATTTAGCCTAGCATCGTCATCTACTGTAGTGACAATTGTATCCATGAACGAAGTTGGTAGGAGCATACCAATCATGAAGCGCTTACGCGTGCCATAGCATATGTCTGTAGCGTCAAAAACTACCGAATACGCCGTCAGCATGAAGGTCCTTTGTATTAACATCCAAACATTGTTTAAATGCTACAATACACAGAAGACAAAAACCAGTCGAAGCAGGTTGCTACATATCATGGATTTATTTTAGCAATTTTCAAATTTTAGTCAGACATGCTTGGTTTAATACTTTACTCGTTCCCTTTACATACCAGGTCCCGGTACCGGCTACCCTGTCTTGGGTGTCCAGTACAGTGGCAGCTACACAAACGTCACTCTGACATCCACTTCAGCCTATGTCACCTTGTACTTCAGTACCGATCATTCCATCACCAACTCCGGTTTTTACATCTCTTACTACACTTCGGGTACTGCATGTAAGTATCAAACAAGTCAAGCGAGTGTTCCATTGAAATACACTTTCAGCATGTATTTCCTCCGTGTAAAGGTCGAACACATTTTAAAGATACACATTTATTTATTTTTTTATGTTTGTGGTTTTCTTTTTGGGGGGGGGGGGGATTTTGTTTTAGTCCGAGATATTTCAACTGTTTGTATGAAGTCAATCTTAAAACAAAACGTATCATGACGGGTTTTTGACTTATAGAGCTAATATAGTAGAATACATGACACCCATAACATTAGTGTCAACTTCATTTATCACTTCCAAATATAAAAACTTCATAAAGACAATCGGTGAGAGGCGATTATTAGAAATATGAGAACAATCTTAAAATATCCTACATCTCATGGTATTGGATCAGTTGATGGATGTGTGACAGCACGTCAGTAGTTAAAGGGGGATCTGGGCAGAACCACCAATTCGTGTTATATACACTATACAAAAACGTTGCCTAAGTTAGCTTTCTCACCATTTAGTTTGTTTCGTTTGCACATACTAGCTACGCCGACATGTGCATCAGGTTACAGCCCGATTAATGAATTGGACGCGTCAAGCACTGAGGGATCAATCTACTCCCATATCGCGTACCCGTCAGGTTCCTATGACAAGTAGGTACCACTTATACATATATTGTATATTGAATTTGTCAATTTATACCATAGCAATACTTGGTTGATGCCTAGTTATGAAACATCTAATTCTGAGTGTATAGTAATACGGACGTTCCAACAGGAAACGTAAATATAGGTCAACAATGGAGGTCTGCCTATGTTCTCGTGGCAATTTCTTCATCCGATGATAATATTCTCGTATCCCTCATACCTACAGTACAAAATAATTCAATCTTTTCTCTGATATGTTACTACGGTAAAAAATCGATACAGACATTGTGATAAAAACAACAAATAAAGTAGAATTTCTGTATAGCGTACAAGTTCACCCAAAACATGTAGCACAGTAGAAAATGTGGTTACTGTATAATGTTTGATGACTTATTTCGAAAAACGATGTTAGACTGCGTTATTTGGCAGAAGATACACATAATTAAAATAATCATGTTCAACGCTAAGGGGAGGTAATACGATAATCAAGCTGAGGGTGTAGATTATGTAGACTTGACTCCGGAACAAACTTGATATACCCATGACAGAAAATGAGTGTATCCATTGCTATATACATTTTCTTTTTTATGTATGATAAGTCTATATCTAAATGCTAAATGACGGAAAACAATGTTTACTCGTCTGTGACTTTCCTCGTTTCAGTGGATATGAACAATACTGGTTGATTAAGAAGTCGGACGTCTCTGATACGTTAACGTTTTACTTCGCTGCGTTCCGACTAGAGGCTTGTTCCTACGACACACTCAAAGTCTATCAAGGTAATCATGACACACTCACGGTTTACAGAGGTAAACATTGCACACTCACGGTCTATAAAGGTAAGCGTGACACACTTACGGTCTTCAAAGGTAAACCTGCCACACTCAAAGTATATAAAGGTAAACATGACACACTCACAGCCTACAAAGGTAAACGTGACACACCAACAGTCTTCAAAAATTAACAAGACACACTCACAGTCTACAAAGGTTAACATGACACTCGCACAGTCTACAAAGGTAAACGTGACCCACTCATAGTCTACAGCGGTAAACAAGACACACTCGTGGCCTACAAAGGTAAACAAGACACACTAACAGTCTACAAAGGTAAACGTGACACACTCACAGTATACAAAGGTAAACGTGACACACTCACTGTCTACAAAGATTAACAAGACACTCACAGTCTACAAAGGTGAACGTGACACACTCACAGTCTACAGAGGTAAACATAACCCACTCACAGTCTACAAAGGTAAACGTGACACACTCACTGTCTACAAAGGTAAACATGACACACTCGCAGTCTACAACGGTAAACAAGACACACTCACTGTCTACAAAGGTAAACATGACCCAATCACAGTCTACAAAGGTAAACGTGACACACTTAGGGTATACAAAGGTAAACATGACACACGCACATCCTACTTAGGTAAACGTGACACACTCACAGTCTACAACGGTAAACAAGACACACTCACTGGCTACAAAGGTACACATGACCCACTCACAATCTACAAAGGTAAACGTGACACACTCACAGTCTACAAAGGTAAACGTGGACCACTCACAGCCTACAAAGGTAAACGTGACACACTCACAGTCTACAAAGGTAAACATAACGCACTCACAGTCTTCAACGGTAAACAAAACACACTCACTGTCTACAAAGGTAAACGTGACACGTGACACGTGACACACTCACAGTCTACAAAGGTAAACATGACACACTTACAGTCTACAACGGTAAACAAGACACACTCACTGTCTACAAAGGTAAACATGACCCAATCACAGTCTACAAAGGTAAACGTGACACACTCACAGTCTACAACGGTAAACAAGACCCACTCACTGTCTACAACGGTAAACAAGACCCACTCACAGTCTACAAAGGTAAACGTGACACACTCACAGTCTACAAAGGTAAACGTGGACCACTCACAGCCTACAAAGGTAAACGTGGACCACTCACAGCCTACAAAGGTAAACATGACACACTCACAGTCTACAAAGGTAAACATAACGCATTCACAGTCTTCAACGGTAAACAAAACTCACTCACTGTCTACAAAGGTAAACGTGACACACTCACAGTCTACAAAGGTGAACATTACATTCTCACAGTCTACAACGGTAAACAAGACACACTCACTGTCTACAAAGGTAAACATAACGCACTCACAATCTACAACGGTAAACAAGACACACTCACTGTCTACAAAGGTAAACATTACATTCTCACAATCTACAAAGGTAAACGTGACCCACTCACAGTCTACAAAGGTATACATGCCAGACTTACAGTCTGCAAAGGTTGATATGACCGTAGTCTCTAAGCCTGGTAAGTTATATTAACACCGACAACGTACCGTTTAGCTTGGATTTAGAAACACGTTTGTTATGGTGAGCACTTTCAATAAAGGAGTTAAAGTGCTTCAACAATGTGGTGCAAGTTTTCATTTAAGATTGCTCCTCTTGCATTCAGTTTTGTATCGTTTTAGAATGATTTTCAACTAAATGAATAATGATGACTACTAAAACATCTAAAACATTTATCAACCTTTATAAATGTGAATGAATATGTATTGTATTGTCATTGAATGTTTCGATTCTGAATCAGATGGCACATTTTTTAACAGGTGGGTGTCTTTACGACACCCTTGAATACACCTTTTGTGGCGAGGTGGATTTATCTCTGAAATACACTGTTAGCCGCGGTCAGTATGTTCTCTTCTACATGAGCACAGACTATTCCGTACGCTATACGGGATTCGAAATGAGATACTATACTGGTGACGGTACAGGTATGTATTAGGTTAAAGGGACATAACTCAAAATCTGTATTTGTTTATGGCGTCGCTGTATGTCACTATACGCCTTCGGAATGAATTTGTCTTCATTACCGCAAACGTCAGAGTTGAAACTTAAACTCCTGTTTATTAAATATTATGATATCAATGAAAATGGAAAATCCATAAAGTATTAATACTTATAACAGTCTTTAATATTCCCTACGGTATGTATAGCGGCAGGTCGTGTACTATTTAAAGGGTAAAAAATGCATGCCTTTCCAAAGCAGACATAGTCTCTAATGTGATTTATATATTGCTCTTGTAACTATGCATTATGAACCTTCAGGAACAGGAGCCGTGTTGTGATAGTAAGAATTCCAATATGCACAGTAACTGAGCGCCACCCGAATATGCTAGATCAACAATAAAGCAGATGATAGCAATGTTTGTTTGTTGCCATGTGTGAAAGATAAACCAGTATAGGGAAACATGTGATAAGCGTCGATATTTCAACATATTATGATTGATATGTCACCGTTTCATTTCTATACATTACAGATGATGAGACGGACGAGGGTGGTGTTCCTTTGGCTGCTATCATCGTACCAGTAGTTATCGTCTTCTTTCTTATCCCTATTGTGTTCCTAAAATTGAGATCAGTTCTTGGTCGTAAGTCAACAACAAAAACTTCCGCCAAAGTCAGTCCACCAGATTTAAATCATTTTAAGCTGACTACTACAACAAAAGTTAAGGTTCCGAAACAAAAACCAGAACGGAAAAAGGCAGTAGTGAAACCTCCGCCTCCTAAACCAAAGCCTTCAGCACCCCAAATACCTCAACCTAGACCCATACTACAGCCAATACCACCACCGCCACCACACGGCTTCCATGACCCTGCCTACCCACCCCCAACACAGCACATGGGAGGATCAGCCCCACCCATGTACCAGCCATACAGTAACTATGCTCCTCATACAAATCCAACGGCGCCTGACGTTCCAGATCCGTTTTTGTATACACCACCCTACTAAGGCTGTGAACATTTAATATGAATTAAAATGTTTGTGTTTATTCTGTGTGTAAGGAAACAATTACTGACTATACATTAAGGCATGCTTTAGAAAACTCCGTTACAGTGGTTTTCTATAAATTGTTTGCTTTAGAATCGTGAAAGGTTTACACAACTATAAAAAATCATCAATTAGCATCACTCATCAGAAAGACACATAATTGTACAGCATCTGTTTGTCAAAGTAAATTATTGCGTATAACTTTTTTTATCAGGCATACCATAAAATTATATATGTGCTGGCAGAGACAAAGTGGTTGAATGGTACGGTAGGGAGTTAGAAGATTTGAAGTGTGTATGTATATACGGAAAGGTTAACGAAACTTTACTGTATGTTTGGAAACTTTCGCTTAGTCAAATAAAAGCCTCTAACTGGTTAAATCTATTTGCGCCCAGTGCTAATTTCGCTCTTCAAGTTAATTGATATATATCCTGTATGATGGACATTAAAGTGTTTGTTGTCAGGATATGTTTTCCCTTGATACGAACGGTAACAAAAAAGTTAAACTGCGACAAAATTTCCCAGTATGCAGTATTACATGTAACTGGTGCGCGTGATATATAGAGTTGATACATCAAGTTATCGAATAAAACCTGAAAAAGGTGGCATCGAAAAAAAAAAAAAAAAAAAATATGTATGAATAGTAGTGTACCAATAAATTTACTTTTTAGTGTTGGAATGTTGTGTTTCAATGCAATTACATGTACAAGCATAACAAACTTTAGTGGTGTCTTATTTTATATTTCTACTTAATTAAATGTTGCATATTTGGTCAGTGTACCTACAACCATGAACTTGTTCTGTTATTATCTTTTGAGCGTTTCGTCTTGTGGAGTTGAAAAAAGCTGAGTATCAAATGTAGGTTTGAATTCTCCACCTTTGTTTTCCAAGTGATGATGTAGAACTGATGGGGTATTGCTTAATATGTGCTTGATATATTTGATATAAGAAACAACTATTATCAGGAACGTTGTTCTAAAAATCAATCGGAAACGAACATACAAACACAAATTTTCGAGAATAACTGTACATATTGCATTTTATAATTCTTCTAAATTTGTGAACAAGAAGTTTTTCCCAGGCGTAGTTGACGCTAATTCCCTTGAAAGAGTGTGTTCTGATCTGGAACGAGCTTCGGTCCCAAGTTACACTTGCTAGACGTACAACAGAAGTTACATTCATAATCGAATCCAAATGCACCAGTATCAGCCATGAAGCAGAACGACTTGTATCCGCCGTTATTACTCCAGTCTTGTGAACAGAACGACTTGTCCACACACCTGAAACGAGTTTAATAAAACACAGGTAACATTCCTACAAATATCTTTGTAAATTGTTCTACAGTATCACACAAACCCACCACCTGTTATAATCTTACCACTATACGTTATCTGGTGTATTGTTCTACAGTATCACACACACCCACCACCTGTTATAATTTTACCACTATACGTTATCTGGTGTATTGTTCTACAGTATCGCACAAACCCACCACCTGTTATAATCTTACCACTTTACGTTATCTGGTGTATTGTTCTACAGTATCACACAAACCCACCACCTGTTATAATCTTACCACTTTACGTTATCTGTGTATTTAATGTGTGTTACTCTAATTATTATATCTTAAGTAAAATAGACTTTCTTGAATGAAATAAAGCATATGATATTTTATGCTGGACGCCCATTACTAATTAATCATATTTCTATATAGCTATAGTACTCAGAATCCCGAGGCATTGCTATAGATAGCTAAACCTTTCAACAGAGCGTTGAAGGGAGCCGAGTCTCAAGCATACATGTATTTGACTTGCTGTTAAACGAAAGAACAGTTTCGGTTTACTATACATGCATTTTAAACAGGGATATTCCGCTTTACAGTCCCTGCGGTTTACTGACATAAACAGCCATAGTAAGTCCCCACGGTTTACTGCCATAAACAACCATAGCCTCGCGGTTTACTGTCATAAACAACCATAGTCCCCGCGGTTTACTCTCATAAACAACCATAGTCATCACTGTTTACTGTCATAAACAACCATAGTCCCCGCGGTTTACTGTCCTAAACAACCATAGTCATCACTGTTTACTGACATAAACAACCATAGTCCCCACGGTTTATTCTCATAAACAACCATAGCCTCGCGGTTTACTCTCATAAACAACCATAGTCCCCGCGGTTTACTATCCTAAACAACCATAGTCATCACTGTTTACTGACATAAACAACCATAGTCCCCACGGTTTACTTTCATAAACAACCATAGTCCCCGCGGTTTACTGACATAAACAACCATAGTCATCACTGTTTACTGACATAAACAACCATAGTCCCCACAATTTACTGACATAAACAACCATAGTCCCAGCGGTTTACTGTCATAAATAACCATAGTCCCCACGGTTTACTGTCATAACCAACCAAGGCCTCATGGTTTACTGAAATCAACAACCATAGTCCCCGCGGTTTAATGTCCTAAACAACCATAGTCATCACTGTTTACTGTCCAAAACAACCATAGTCCCCACGGTGCACTGATATAAACAACCATAGTCAACACTGTTTACTGACATAAACAACCGCAGTCCCCGCGGTTTACTGACATAAACAACCATAGTCATTTAAGCAATAAACTGCATAGATGTGGCAGACCAACTGGTATAACTGCCACATGTGTCACAGACAAACTGAATGGTGCGCGCTAGCTCACCATGATAAGTTTGTCTGTGACACATGTGGAAGTTATACCAGTTGGTCTGCCACATCTATGCAGTTTATTGCTTATATTTATATTTCCATAATGAGAATTCGCAAAAAAAATATATGTCTTTTCCAAATTTCAAATTTCCTGCTTATTACCGTCAGGTCAGGTCAGTATCTAGAACGGCACAAAGATAACAGCTGACGTCATGCGCTATTTCCCATACAAAATTGAAAAGACTCCGCAACTTTCGTT